TTGCTTTGGTTTACTTACATCAAATATTATTGCAACTGTAATGATTCCCAGTTCCCACCCTCCTTGCCTTGTGGATATTACCATTTATTTTTGTACCAGTGAATCAGAATTCTGTTTTGTGTTTAAACCGTGATAGTCTAAAGGTTTGCTATTTTCATGGCTTGAATTACTTGCATGGAAAGTTGGGGAGATGTCTAACAAGCACATTCCTGGAACTAAGAGAACAGTGGGTGCAAGGACGCGTTTAAAGCTGCTTTCTTTCCTCTTGACATCTCTGCAGCACCACAGAGAGACCTTCTACATTCACCTTTCCCCTCATAATGAAATACTGAATGTTTTAAATTAGCGGGAACTCCTTACCGCTGAGTGTGTTCTTCCTCTAGAGGTACTATGTACTGGTTCTTCGTCAGAAGTATCAGATTCAGTGCTTTCAAAACCTTTTCTCATCTTCTCCTTTTTTCTTTCACTGAGGTACTGGTTTAGAAATGAATACTGTGCCGAAACCATCTGGGCCCATGCTTCTTCTTCTGGGTTGTCAAAGTGAGGCCGGGAAAAGGCAGATGTGTATTCACTGTCGCGGTTAGTTTTTTCTTCACGTTGAGTTATTTTCTGCAGATAGGAATTGTAGAATACACATTTGCTTCATTTTTTTTTTATTTAGGGTGCTCATCGTAAAACAACTCATTTTTCTCTTAGTACTCACCAGATATTGATACAGAAAAATATGCACTAATAATCATTTGCTAATTACATGTCCGCATAAATGTTTAGCTGCTCACAATTACTGGCCTAGCTTTAAGAAGTGGAAATAGCCATGCCCATGCCCGCAGTTGCCATCTCAGAATCCAAAGACCAACACTAAAACCTCCGGCTCTGACTTTAGCTCATGAATCCTCCCTTATTCCCACCTCCCTCATCTGCCATATCCATACCATGGGCATAGCTCCAAACCATGGCTCTGCCTGGTGAAGGTCCTGTCAAGCAGCTCATGCACCATCTTTCCCTGGCCTAGCTCTGGCTCACAGCTCTGCCATTGGCCCTATCTAAGGCAGGCTAGAATCTGACATCAGACACAACCCAAGAAGGAAGCCCACCTGCCCAGAGAGTAATGAAACATAAACAAATAAAATGATAAGAAGAAGCAATGAATCTAAGAGCTGATTCTTTTAGAAGATAAATCCACAGACCTATACCCAACAAACTAAAAGAAGGAAAGAAGTGAATGTTACAATAGACACCAAAAAAAATGAAAACATAACAGAAGAATGCTTTCAAAGCTTTTGCTCTGGAGAGGGTGAGACGGCACAGAAGGTTAGAGTACTGGATGGTCTTCCAGCAGAGCTGGGGTTCAATATCCAGCACCTGCATGCTGGCTCACAGCAGCAGACTGTGTCTTCACTCCTAGGGGATTCAGTGTCCTCTTCTGGTCTCCATGGGTACTGTATGGTCATGATGCACAGACGCACAAACAAGCAAAGACCAATACACATAAAAATAACTATGAAATTAGGTGCTCAAAATTATTTTTTAAAGTCTGTCCTCTATTAAGAAAAAAAAACTCAAAGAAATGAACCAATTTCCACCTTCATACAAACTACCAAAAACTTAATTCAAAATGAGATCAACAACCTAAACAGACACATAACTCATGAGAAAATTTGAAAGTCTAATAAAAATCGTTCTGACCATAAAAAGTCCAGGCCCAGAGTCCCACCACACTCTCAAAGATTTACTGTCAGTCCTTAACTTATTAAAACAACAAAAACCAGGTCCAGCAGAAGCCCTTCCAAATTTCATCTCTGAAGCCAGCAGATTCAATATTAAAATCACAGAAAAGATAAACTACAGTAATATAAAGATGATACTAATACAATAAATAATGAAATAGAAAAGGGGTAGCATTTTATGTACAATGACAAGCATGCTGAGAAAGAGTTGATGGGAACATTACCATTCAAAATAGTTTCAAAAACTTATCTAGGAAAATATGTCAAATGTTTATGAAAGTGTAATACAACTAAGGAATGAAATCGAGGAACATACCAGAATTTGCACACACCTCTCATGGACATGGATTGGGAAAATTCAATATTGTGAGAAATAGTTTTTTTTTTGTTTCTTTGTTTTTTAAACAGAAGAAATCTAGAGATTCAATGCAATTCCCATTGGAATTGCAGTTGCATTCTTCTCAGAAATGGAGGAGAGAATTTTAACATCCCTATAGAAGCACACAAGACTTTGCAAAGCCAAACTAATTCCAAGTACGAAGACCAATCCTGGGAGTATCACCATATGTGCTTTCAAGTTACACTCAGAGCCATAGTAATTAAACCAGCAGCTGCTGCCCAAGAAGCAAAATCAGAAAAGAGAACAGTGAAGCTGGTTCTAAGGTCGTGCAACTAAAGCCACATGCTGTTCAACCAAGACACCAAAACTACATGTTGGTGTGAATGTGGCCCAAAGGTGAAGGGTGCATGTAACCAACCAGTTTTCAATTGGATCTGAGGCCTGTTTCATAGGTGGGAATTCATGCCTGGTACTGTAAAGCAGGCCCAAAACCCATGGCTTGGGAAGTCACAGGCCCTAAGAAACAAGTTAATAGTGTTGTCTTGCTACATGGGCATGATCGCAAACTGTTTTCTAAATATTTATGTTTATTTACATAGATCAGCACTTTTCAAAGTAGTGGGGATTACCGTGTAGTGTGTTTTTCCTTTGGAGGTACTAGGCAGTGGCTCTTCCACAAGGACAACATTAACGTTGTTTTTCTCAGAAAGCCCACTGTCTGTCTTTGTTTTTGTTACTTTTTTGATGGGGCTGAAACGCTGTGTAGACTTTTTCCCCATCAGCACGTGGTCACTCTTTTCCTCAGGAGGAAGTCCTGAAGGTACAGATTCTATATTATGTACTTTTGTTGCTGGAGATACATTCTGCAGAGGAGAAGGTGGATGATTAGTTTTTTTTTTATTTCATTGACAAACATTTTGTTGTTTAGGAGCGCTTGTCTTCGAAATGATTTAATCTTTCCGAATTATGAGGTTATGATCAAAGTCAAAATAGAAACAAATTGCTGTTGAACAGTTAAATATCTCTACATATGCTTTGTTATTCACATGTGGTTCTCAGTTAGAAGTCAGAATAATTCATACTGGTCTGGAATAGAAGCAAAACACAAGCCAACAAACAAAACCTACTGGAATTGGATCAAACACATCTAAGTAGACAATCAGTTTGAAAAAATGACTTAGATGATTTTTTATCATGGCAAAGCAATCTTTGCATTAAGAGATTTTACCACAATCTATCTGAAATGTTGAAAACTGACTTAAAACAATTAAGACAATTACTGACTTAAAACAATTAAGACAATTAGAAGTACAAAGTATAAGTAGCTCTATGAACTTAGTAGGAGTTTCTCACAACATAAAACTACAGATGTAAGGCACCAGGAAGGAACTCCTCTTCCTCAACTCTAACCCACTGGCCATCAGATCAAATTGCTTATAACTTCAACTATCATGAATTATCATGTCTCAAAGTTGACACACCTTCATCTTTTCAGGAGATTGGACACATGACTGCAGAAAGTCTATTCAGGAAAAGATATTGACCTTGAAACTAAAGATTTTCCTGAAAATAAAATTTACCTTGAAGTTACTAGAAATTATATTAGTTCATGCTCATCAAATGTTGCTGTGCTATAGAACTTTTTTGCCTAAAATAAAAAAAATCTTTAATTTAAATATTTGGAATTTTGAGATAAATATCAAATTTGGTTGTAAAGGTGACAATTAAGTAAAAATATGCCTTTAATATTCACTTTCTTTTTTAAGATTGATTTACAAATGATGTGTATGGTATGCACAGATGAGTAAATGTGTCTAGATGGAGGCCTGAGGTGTTGCATTCTCTGCACCTGGATTTCCGGGCATTTATGAGTCACCTGCCATGGGTGCTGGAAACAGAACGTGGGTCCTCTCCATGAGCAGTAACTCATAGGGAGGGGCACTGACCCACTGAGGCATCACACCAGCTTCATGGTAGAGTTTCAAACAACCTACATCTGTTCTAAACTTTCCTTCTTCATTTATCAGAGACTGAGGACAACATGCCTGCCAACAGATAGATCATCCATTCTGTCTTACCTGAGATATCCTTGGCTAAGATGCTGTTTCTGGTTTCCTTTCTTATCAATAGGACTTGAGATCTATCTCCATGACAAGTCCTCCCTTGAACAATATTACTGAATTTGGCCGCAGATTCTCTTGGTTAGGGTGTTATTGTTGTGATGAGACACCATGGCCATGGTAGCTTTTATAAAGGAAAATATTTAATTGGGGCTGTTTAAGAGGTTCAGAGTTTTAGTCCATTGTTGTCTTGGCAGGAAGCATGGGATCACTCAGTCAGACTTGCTCCTGGAGAATGGACTGAGACTTCTACATCTGGATTTGCAGGCAGGAGGAGGAGAAAAAGGCACTGGTCCTGACTAGAGCTTCTTAAACCTCAAAACCTGCTGCCAGTGACATACTTCCTCTAACAAGATCACAATTATTCCAACATACCTCCTAATAGTGCCCCTTCCTATGAGTCTGTCAGGGCTATTTTCATTCGAACAACCACACATAAAATAGTTAATGTCAATTTGGAAACCAAATTGAATTGGGCTTAAAAGAAAGAGCATTTGGGTGTGATTTCTGTCCATATTAGAGTCGCGGTGAATAATGGTTTCAGTAGGTATAATTATGCCATCTAATTTTACCCTTTTCTCTCCTAATATTGATGTTAGACTCTTCAAGGCAATTACCTAGTACCAGTGGAGATGAGTATTTGGTATAAGTGAGGTCTGCAAAATAGCTGTCTCTTGTCTTGATTTTGATTTTGAGTGGGGTGTTAAAAACGAAAAGGACTGTTACTTATCTAGTTCTCTGGATTTCAATAAGTAAAACTGGCAGGTTGATAATGTCTGGGTCCCATGAAGTTAACAAACATCTCAAGACTGGCTTTATTTCCACTTACGATATCTTGGCTTATACTCTACTCATTCGCATATCAAACATATTTGTTCTGGAGGCTGGAGAGGTGGATCAGCAGTTTAGAATATTTTTTGCTCTTGCAGAAAACTAGGTTCAATTCTCAGCATCCACACAGTAGCTAACAACCAATTGTCATTCAGATTCCAGGCATCAAATGCCATCTATGCCCTCCATGGGTAGCACACACATGGTGCACATACAGAATGCAAGAAAACATTCATATACACAAAATGAATAAAGCTAAAGCATGCAAACATGTTGATTATTTTCATGTTGATTGTAAATTCATCCTGGATTCTTTATTATTTATTCTCTATATTTTGATGAGTTCTCCTGACTTAAGTTATAAGTATGTTCACTTTCTGACTTTTTATTTCCATAGTCTAACTTAGAAGGTGACTGGAAGGTATTACTGGGAGTGAGTGGGTGAAGGTGGTTCAGGATCTGTTTGAGGCTGGACCCCTTTCTTCTGAAACCATCTTCAGACATAAGCACGCAGATGCATTTTTCCCCTGACAAGCAAGTATATTAGTTTTGGAATTCATGGAAATTACCTTCATGGGTATTTGTCCTTCAGAGCTATTTTGTAGTGGCTCGCTCCAAGGACTACCAGTTTCACTATGTCTTCTTAAAAAGTTTTGAAATCTCTTCTTTGCCCTTCCTCTCTCTTCCTTGTTAAAAACCTGGAAAAACGGAGATGAAGTTTTCTCTTGTATACATTCGGGGTGGTAGTTTAATATTTCTGCCCTTTGACGTATTTGCTGCAATGGAAAGGTAGAGGATTAACTTTCTTGGTTTGGTTCTGAAATTGACTATTTTTGTTGTAAGGGGAATATCTTCAAAACCACTTCATTCTTTAGTATTCACAGGGTACTGACACATAAATAGTTGCATCTAATTATAGCAATGAGATATTTTCAAATACATTTACCTATTCACAAATTACTAGGACATCATTAAGAAGTAAAAATATTTATGCTGGCCTAAATATGAGACAATCATGAACTAAGAATCTTGGACTTGCCATTGTGGTTTAGGCTAAAGTTAATTCATTATGTTTTAAAACATCTAAATCCTGTGTAAGATGATTGATTATTAATGCTAATAGTATCACTTTCATCAGTTTTTCTCTTCTTCTGTAGTTAGGAAGTAAAAATGCACATTAATTTCCATTCACATTCTTCTTTTAAAAATAAGCACCGATTTAATTACCAGTGTCGTTCATATCATAGTACTGTGAAACTGCCTTAGAAACCCATTTCTCCATTGTTCACAGTCAAAATCATTAAAACACAACTTATGAGTCACATAAACCCTAGCGCTCCAGGTTACACACACCTCTAGGAGCTCATGGTTATGAAAAAGTTTTAATATGAATGTTAGGTATTTCGATAAAAACCTTCTATTTCAAATCTTAGAATGTAAGTGTATACTATTTTTAAATGAAAAACAAAAAATAAAAATTTAAAATGTTACTGTATGGTACGAATCGTCTGTTCCAAGACTGGTAGCTGATGGGAAATCACATTGCTTAGCTAGATGAGGAGTTGTGAACACGTCCTCAGTGGAGTTGGACAGAAACACAATGCAAACTGAGATGAATAGTTTGCATGTGTCTAAATTTCCACAGCTTCTGGTTTGTCTAAATACTGACCAAACACAGAAATAGAGGAGATGCTCTCATATATGATCAGAGAACAGGAGCATCCAAGGAACATAAAACCTACCTGCATTTATGCTAAAAGTAAAGGCAACTGGGAGGTTCCTGGCTCGCTGAAATTACTTCCTGGAACCACTCGAGAGTATATAGGTGGATTGTCGGAGTGATGCTTTAAAATCACTCTAATGTGTACTTGTTTCTGCCAACAATCCTTGGTCAAACATCAAACACCTTCTATTGTGGGAGAACTCACAATATGTTTCGAGGCCATTCTCTTAATCGGTCACCACTACCTGCTTACTTGAAAGTTAGTGAAAGGAAGTTTGGGACCTACAGAATGGCGTCCTCTGACCAGCATCCCTAGGAAACATGGATAGGGGGATACTACTGCATTTTAACACAATTCATAAGAAAATGAATTTCACAAAGGAGCATTTTACCTTAATAGCACTTTCATTTGTCATAAACCAAGGAAGATCATCAGACTTGTCTGAGAACCTTTGGGATAAAAACATGCAACAATGGGAGGATTTGGTCATTTGAACAGCTCTGGAGAGAGATCTGTTACTTACATAATTAAGTTACATTTCTGCGTTCATGTAATTAAAAGTCAACCTATGTTTTAAAGCTTTCAGTTGTCTTTGTGGACTTAACTTATCTCAGTCTATCAAACATTCAACCAAGATGCACTCAAGTTCCAGTTTAAAAGGAAAAAGTCAGTAGCTTAGGAGATGGGTCAGAAGTACAGAGTGACCAGACTGTGAATCTGCATCACGCAATACAAAACTAGACATGCACTTGCAGCCCCAGTACTGTAGGTGGCAGAGACAGGGGCATCATGGGAGCTTGTTGGCTGCAAATCTAGACCCATATTCATGAGAGATCTTATATCAAGTGGATAAGATAGAGAATGATAGGACAAAAGAAACCTATAACCTCCTTTTAATTCTAAGCCTGCACACAGACATATGTCACACGCGAGCACACACACAAACACACACACACACAGACCCAGAGAGACACAGAGAGAAAGAGAGAGAGAGACACACACACAGAGAGAGACAGAGAGACAGAGAGAGAAACTAATTGCCGTTGTATTGACTTTTGCCTGTACAAATTGCCTGTCTTATAGTTGGAACTTATAAGTCCCTTAATTTGCTACCTGAACTGAAATAAATCCATTGCCTAAAAGAAGACAGAAGATTATGTATCTTCTGGGTCTTCTGCAATGTCTAACTCTGCTGAAGACTGGGCACTTCATGTCTTATACATTGTCTATACCTGGGTAAATACTAATTACTTTATTTCTGTAAATTAATGAATAATATCAGGTACCAAAAACATACCTGCTATAGAGATCCCATTAAGGGATTCAAATTGCTTTCAGCTCGCTCTCTCTCTCTCTCTCTCTCTCTCTCTCTCTCTCTCTCTCTCTCTCTCTCTCTGTGTGTGTGTGTGTGTGTGTGGAGGACAGTGGACATCAGTGTGTTTCCTCCTTTGGTGCCATCCACCATACAAAGGTGTCTCACAGTATCAGGAAACAATTCAATTCTTCTAGGTCTGTTTTTCAGCAAGTGCTATGACTGCCTCCCAGAAACGGATGAACAAGATTGTGCATTCTTACCCGGGCTTTTATTTGTCTCCTGGTATCAAACTCAGTGTCTCGTGTTTACAGAAACTGCAGTTCATTAATAGGACTATCTCCCCAGCCCCAAAGTGGTATATTCAACAGACACGTTGACATTTTCAGGTCCTCCAATTAGGCAGTCTAAACCGCAACAGCATTTTCACAACTCTCTTCAATTCCTGGTTTTAATGTGCTTTTGTGATAATTTTAATATCTCTAAACTTGAATTTTCCTATTATCACTGTCAAATCTGTCATAAACTCCATTATTTTCATCACTATTCTCAAACCCTCACTGTCACCCAAACTAATTGTTCTTCATGGTCCACTTTTTAATGTGAACGCATTCCTATCCTTCTTTACAGGATTCACCAGGCACATCCAGCATGCCCTCTTCCATGGGTCTTCTTTCCTGTGCTCTCCCATTTATTGCTAAACACCCACCTGCCTGTGGATAAATAAGAAGACTCCCAGCTTTACAACTAAGGAACTAGAGTACTATTCTGGTGGGTGACACATGTGTGTCAACATAAACTGTCTTCATGGGTTTGGACTTCAGGGCTCGCCAACAGAACAATCATAGGGGAAGGATATTAAATACAAGAAATACTAACACATATTTTGCTACATATCTAAGAGTCCTTATAATCCTGAAATTCTGGGTGTTTTTAATCATCCACTGAAAAATGAATATTTAATTTTCAAAAATGAAAAAAAATAGAAGAAAGGGAATGTTTTTTTTTAAAAAAAAAACAAGAAACTGTGTAGGGGAAATCTTTTTTAAAAAAAAACAAACTGTGTAATTCTATAAACAGAAATCTAATTGGACATTAGTAAGTAATCTATTATAAATATCCTCTAAATAAGGAGTTAGTACTTAGTGCCTTTAACCCCATAACTCAGAAAGCAGAAGATGGTGTATCTATGTGGTTTTAAGGCTATCTTGGGCTACAAAGTGAGTTCCATGCCTATCTGGGGATATTTAAGGAACCCTCTCTCTACAAAACTCCTCTAAACAAATGTTAAACAGTATATGCCATGATCTACATATTGATACTCTTCATTCATCTACAAAGGTTACCTGATTCTGCCTGTTGAAATGCTGTGAAAGATGTCTGCCACATCTGAGATCTGCCTTAAAAACTTCAGTAATAAAAATGAGGCAGGAGATCCAACTGTAGTTGCCAAAATTCTTCAAGTAGGATGTCAGTTTATATAACCTACCTTCTGAGGAAATCTCTAGATCACAGCCTAATCACACGACTTAACTTTCTGAATTGATATGATGTGGTTCTGCACCTTGAAGCCAGTAAACACATGTTAAATCAATGTCTACAGAAGGACAAGAGCCGGACCATAATACAAATAGTCAACTCTTGGGGCAGCAGTTATCTAATCAGTTCTAAAGAGGTTTTAATAACCTAGATACTTTGAAAATTGACTGTGGTTACTATAAGATACTGCACACATGTATTGTGCATTGCATGCATGGTATTGTGTCTCTCTCAAGGTACACTCAACAATAATGCTTCCTTATCTTTTGGCTTACCAATTATTTCATGTATTTTTAATTTATATATCCTTACCTGCATAAAAACTTCTGTTGAATATTGTTGCACACTTCTAAACATAAATGAAAAATATATTTTTTAATGATCAGTTAAGCCACCTGCAGATCTTTTCCGCTCCCTCTGTTCTCCCAGACCGAATCCTTCAGTCTTATCCTTAGTGCTACAAGAGAACTAGCTCCAGTCTCTCTCCCACTCCACTGTCAACATCTTCTGTGGATCCCATAGACCATCCACTCCTAACATCCCTCCCCAATTCATTGTTCACCAGCCTCCAACTTTAGCAGCAACCTCCTGTTCAGACACAAGCCATATCTGCCAGAAAACCAGGTAGGCTGCCCACAGATCTTCTCAGCACTCTCTGTGTGTTCCTCTAGACCCAGTCCCTCAGTCTCTTGCCTAGAGCATCAATACATCACCAGCTACAATCTCCCTTTCTCCCTGCCCATGTCTCTTAGGGAACCCACCGAATGTCTCTTCCTAACCTCCCTCCCAACAAGTCATCATTGCATCCCAGCCTTCAACACCTGTAGCCATTTCCTGTGAACACAGTAGCTGAGAAGGCCAGTAAAACAGGAAATGTGCAACTATCACACCTTAGCAAAATCCAGAGAAGTAACAAAATCAAACCCAAAAACCTCCATAATACCCACCTAACTAAGGCAAACCCAGAAGTCAGCACCTAGACTTATAATTATCCCAAACCCAGATACCTAGATACTAGCTAGCATAAGAACATAATCAATAACAGTCAGCACAATACATCCCCACTAGAACACAGCTATCCTACCATATCAGGTACTAATTATTCCAGCATAACTGAAGCACAGGATAAAGACCTTACAAGAAGCCATGTGAAGACAATAGAGCTTCTTAAAGAGGAAATAAATGACCTGAGCTAGTGGGAGTTCACTGACTCTGGACTGAAAGCAGGGACTCTGCGTAGGACCAAACTAGGCCCTCTGAATGTGGGTGACAGTTGTGTGGCTTGGGCAATCTGTGCGGCCATTGGCAGTGAAACAAAGATTTATTATTAGCACTTGAATTGGCTATTTGGAGTCCATTCTTTATAGAGTGATGTCTTGCTCAGTCTAGATATAGTGAGGAGGGCCTTAGTCCTGCTTCAAACTGATCTGTCAGACTTTGTTGATTCCCCATGGAAAGCTTTATCATCTCTCAGGAGTGGATAGGGGCAGGGTGGAGGATGGTGAGGGAGAGAGGAAGAAGGAGAGGGAATGGGGACTGGGATAGCTATGTAAAATGAGAAAAGACTGCTTAAATAAAAAGTTGTTTCCTAAAAAATAAAGAAAACGAAATCCATGAAAATACAAACAAACAATTGGAAGACAAGAATAAATCCCCTAAATAAAGTGAGGAAGAAATACAAAAAGCCAAATAGTTGAAGGGAAAAATAAAACTGTTCAAGACCTAAAAATGGAAATAGAAGCAACACATAAACATAATGATACAATACATCATGAAAATTTTAGGAATTCAAACAGAAACTTTCTACAGAATACTAGAGATAAAGAGAAAGGCATTAAAGACACAATGTAAGAAATGGATAGATTAGTCAAAGACAATATTAAACCTAATATATTTAAACTATGCATCTGAGAAATATGGGACACTAAGCCTTAGAACAGTAGCAATAGAGGAAGGAGAAGAATCCCAGAAAACATGTTTAAAAATCATAGAAGAAAATTTCCTAATAATAAGGATAGGCTTATAAAGGTACAAAAAACATACAGAACACCATATAGATCGCCATATAATAATAAAAACACTAAACATACAGAACAAAGAAAGAACATTACAAACTGCAGAAGCCAAGTAAGACATAAGGGTAGAAACCTGAATTCTTAAAGGAGTCTCTAAAATCCAGAAGGCCACACACTGGTAGTGGGAAAATACTCCAGTATCACCAATGGACAGGTCATCAAAACAAAACAAACAAACAAACAAAAAAACAAAGTAGACCACATTCATAAACACAAAGCAAATCTCAACAGATTAAAGCAAATTGAAATTAACTTATCACACCAGCATGGACTAAACCTGGATATCAAGAATAACAGAAAGAACAGAAAGCTTAAAAAATCATGGAAAATTAGCAACTCTGGAATGAATGAAAAATGTGTCAAAGCAGAAATAATTAAAAGATATTAAAACTTTTTAGAACACAATGAAAATGAATGTGCAGCATACACAAACTTATAGGACACAGTAAAGTGGTGTTGAGAGGAAAGTGCACAGCACTGAGTGTGTGCCTGCCTAAAATTGGGGAAATCTCATAACTGAACAGCACACCTGAAAGCTCTAGAACAAAAACAAGACTACAAGAAATTATAAACGGGGACTTGAAATCAATGAAATAGAAATAAAGTAAACAATACAAAAAGAATCAATGAAACAAAGAATTTATTCTTTGAGAAAATCACAAGATAGACAGACCCAAACTTACTAACTGATGGAGAGAAAATATTTGGATGAACAAAAAGGAGGACAGAACACTAGACATCAAAGAAACCCAGAGAATCATAAGGAGACATACTTTAGGAACATGTATGCCAAGAAATCAGAAAAATCAGAAGAAAAGATAGTTTTGTTGATAAGTACCAATTATCAAAATTAAATAAAGCTCAGATAAACAATTGAAACAGACCTATAACCCCTAGTAAAATCATAGCAGCCATTAGAAGTCTCCAAACCAGAGAAAACCAGGCCAGGCAGTTTCAGTGTAGAGTTTCATCAGATTTTAAAGAAGAATTAATGCCAATGGTCTTTAAATTATTCCACAAAACTGAAACAAAAGGAACATTGGCAAATTTTTTTAATGAGGCCACAATCACCCTGATACCCAGATCCCACAAAGATTATGTGCGTTGCATTTAGAGAGAAAGAAAAACACATTTTACATCAAGCATAGAAAACTATAGCAGTAAAATTACAAGACTGGTAATTTCTTGATATGGATTGCATGAAGCCCTCCTATAGTATATTCTTCAGAGAATATTTATGAATAAACAATTAGCACTTACTTCTACTTTTTGCATATTTCAAGTACAAGAAAAGGTCATCAATTTATTGAATCTCAATCCATAAATTAAACTACTATGCATGGAGCCAGCTACCAGGCTTTTTGTTTCAATAGCCTACCTGGAGCAAGCAAGGTAGGCCTTTTGTTTGAGAACTACCTGGCCAGCAAGGAGACCTGATCTAGGTACCACAAGAGCCATCAGTGGGGTGAGTGAGTTCCTGACCCATGGGAGCAGCCCGGGAGACGGAGCACAGGCATTCCTCATCCCCTTATACTTCCTGGTCTTCCTGCAGGGGCTATTCTCCCCGGCTACTGCCTCTCTCTTCCTACCCCACCCAGCTTGCATCCAGAAAACCCCTCCCTTCTTCCTCCCCTCTTCAGGCTCATAATATCACCCAGATCAGCCTGTTTGGGCACTGGGCCTGAGTCGTGAGTGCAGCCAGGTGGGCGGGAGTCCCTCTGTTTCAATAGCCTGCCTGCAGCAAGCAAGGTAGCCCTTTTGTTTGCAAGCTACCTGGCCACCAAGGAGACCTAATCTTGGTATCAAAAGATCCATCATTGGGCAAGGAGACCTGATCCTGTAAAAGAAGATCCATAGGGAAGGATTCGGAGGAAGAGATGGGCAGGCACCAATGCAAGAATTTCCCCAACAATCTGAAAAAACAACAGGAAATCACCAGAACCCAGCAAACTTACAACAGGAGGACATGAACACCTTAATCAAGAAGAAATAGAAAAAAAATGACTTTATGAAAGTGATAAGGCCCTTAAATAGGACGTGAAAAACTTCCTTAAAGAAATGGATGAGAAGAATAACAAAAAGTTTGAAGAATTGAGTAAATCCGTAAATGATATCCTAGGAAACCAAGGAAAACAATCAAACAGATAAAGGAAACAATTCAAGACTTGAAAACTGAAGTGGAGGCAAGGAAGAAAACACAAACCGAGGGCCGGCTGGATATGGAAAATCTAGGTCAATGAACAGAGATTACAGAAACAAGCATAACCAACAGAATACAAGAGATAGAAGAAAGAATCTCAGGTTCTGAAAATACCACAGAGAAAATAAATGCACTGATCAAAGAAAATAGCAAATCCAAAACTTCTCATCACAAAACATTCAGGAAATATGGGACACAATAAAAAGACCAAAACCTAAGAATAATAGGGGTAGAAGGAGGAGAAGAAGTATAGCTCAATAGTCCAGAAAATATATTTAATAAAATTACAGAAGAAAACTTTCTCAACCTAAAGAAAGATATTCCTATGAAGGTTCAAGAAGCATACAGAACACCGAATAGACTGAATAAAAAAATCCCCTTGCCATATAATAATCAAAACACAAAACATACAGAATAAAAAAATATTAAGAACTGCAAAGGAAAAAGGTCAAGTTACTTATAAAGGTAAACCTATCAGACTTACACATGGCTTCTCTATGGAAAGCATGAAAGCCAGAAGGTCCTGGATAGATGTACTGCAGAAACTAAGACCATGGATGTAAGCCCAGACTACTATACCCAGCCAAGCTTTTGTTCACTATAAATGGAGAAAACAAAAATTTTCAGGATAAAAACAAATTTAAACAATACGTGGCCACAAATCCAGCCTTACAGAAAGTAATAGAAGGAAAATCACAAGCCAAGGAGTCCAACAATGCCCACAATAACTCAGACATCTAGTGACCCTTCACCAGCACAACTCGAAAAAGGGAAACACACAAACTCTACTACCAAAAAAAAATGACCAGAGTTAACAACCAGTGGTCATTAATAACACTTAATATCAATGGACTCAACTCACCTATAAAAAGGCACAGGCTAAGAGATTGGATACGAAAACAGTATCTAACATTCTGCTGTTTACAAGAAACACACCTCAACCACAAAACAGACATCTACTCAGAGTAGAGGACTGGTAAAAGGTTTATCAAGCAAATGGACCTAAGAAACAAGCAGGTGTGGCCATACTAATTTCTAACAAAGTTGACTTCAAACTAAAATCAATCAG